AAAACAACAGTGCATACATGGTTTAAAAAATAGCTCTTAAAAACTTAACTTTCTTTGCTGAATTAACCTTTGTTGTAGAAACAACGGTGATCATTTTAAACAGTTTTTATAATAAGTTGTACTAAATTTAATAACCTCAACTTTGTTACTATTTGATCGTAGTAAACAATCATTAAAATTAGTAGGTATAAAGACTGAAATTATCATCAACCTAACTAGCACTTTGTTCAGTATTGTAATGTGGGTGGCAAGATAATGTAGACATTTAAAAAATATTTTTTGTACCCAAACCACTCATTTAATCAAAATTTTATTAGAGCCCTAAAAACTTCCAAATGGTATCACCTATCAGATAAAAAATAGTTGTCATTATTGCACGAAAGAGGAAAAGTTCTGAACGGATGTTATTACCATACATCAATTTTGTAGAAGTTGTGAGTTTTAAAAAACACTCTGTATAACATCGAAATTTGTAGATTGAAATTATTTACAAAATTCAAAAAAATTTTCACGAACTTTGAGGCCATCTAGCGGCCAAACGAAGCAATTTCAGATATAGATGAATTAGCCTAAATCTGCCTATTTTGAGTCCACAAATCTGTGGTCTTCCGTTGTACACATTATTCTGAGACACCCTGTATATATAAAAAACATTTGACTGTTTATTGAAAAATATAAACCAAACTTCTGATTTTTTAAATGAAACAGCGTGTATATTTGTGGCTTTTTCAAATATTTCCTTTTTCTTTCTAGTTACAGTACATACATATCATATATTTGTTTTGCACATATGTTTAATATTTTAGACACCATAATGAAAAAGTCAAGATTTTTCATGGAATCATTTAGCCCAGTCGGTAGAGCCACAGAAACAAGTAACTAGCAATATGGCTGATATTTTTTATAAGTACTTCATCGTATGCAGATTAATATAAGAAAAAGTTCATTGGTCTATTGATTTCCCAAAGTATAAAAAATGTTTGAAAAACATTTTATTTCATTTTCAAGTAGGAAGTCTAAACTTTTCGCTGGTATGGTTATTTTTTTTTTAATAAAAGATCGAATAAAAAATTAAGCATATATAGGTATACATATTCAAATCGAAAACCGAGCGGCTCAATGAATTGTTATTTAGGTGACCTCTTTCACAAATAAAGTTTCCAGGTAATAGAATTTATCTAATTACGAAATACGACCCTTGCAGTTATTTTAAAAATTTTAGAAATCTTGAGTTTACGGTAAAATATATACCGGGAGATTCAGTTTGGTATTCGCGGCCCTATATCTATATCTGTTTTATTGTAACAAATAGCTATAACAAACCCTATATATTGTTAAATCGCCGCTCAAACTCTATCAAATGACATTATTAGATCGTCTCCATGGTAACATATGACAAAATTGCTATAGTCAATTGTTTTTGTTCAAATGGCACGCTATATATTTTTTTATCAATTCTGGAAGATATTTTTTTTCTGCGTTCAACTATGTATGGAAGTCTATAGTTTCATTAGAAATATTGCTAGAAAAACAGCAAAAAAGATGCACACTACTTTTCGTAGCTTTATTCTGAAAAATGATAACCAGCTACGAAAACAAGTTACTATGTTTTTTAAAGTAACCTATTTTATTTTTAATACGATAATAAGATAACAATTTAAAACAATACTTATTTCAAATGTTCAAAATGACCTCCATTTGTTTCCAAACACAGAACAGCTCTGCTTATCACTCCCTCTCTACAAACACATTCTAGTGTTTCATTTAATCTCCGACATTCTACACTTATTCTGTTTTTAAGGTCGTCAATATCATTTAAAGACGAAGAGTAAACTTTTTCTTTTAGGTAAGGCCAAAGAAAGAAATCTATAGGAATGAGATCAGGAAATCTACAGCAGGCCATTTAACATCTTCATCGGATGTTCTTCATCTCTTACCCTTCTGGGTTTAAAAACTGTTCTTTTCTTTTGAAAACCATCTGCTGCCAAATTCCTGGCTAACTTTCCGAAAATTGTATCTGATGGAAGTTGTCTCGCCGGAAAACGATGTTGGTATAAATGCCTGGCTTTAGCGTTCTTTTAGCACTCTCCATAAATTAAAATCATATCCAGTTTTTCTTGGTTACTATAAGTATTCATGTTATAGTAATAATAATTAGTTATAGATAGAATAGGTAGGTACAAAATGTTAATTATTTTGAAAAACCTTAATTTAGAAACGTCAAAATTCAGTTGTTTCCGCAGCTGGCTATCATTTTTCAGAATAAAGCTACTGAAAGTAGGGTTCATCTTTTTTGCTGTTTTTTTTTAGTAATATTTCTAATGAAACTTCTATCTATAGCTGAAGGTAGAAAAAAATATATCTTCCAGAATTGATAAAAAAATATATAGTGTGCCATTTGAACAAAAACAATTGACTATAGAAATTTTAACATATGTTACCATGGAGACGATCTAACAATATCATTTGATAGAGTTTGAGCGGCGATTTAAAAATATGTAGGGTTTGTTATATCTATTTGATAAAACAAAAGAGATACGATGCCGCGAATATCAAACTGAATCACCCGGTATATTAGCCTCTGGAACTTTATTAAAACTAAACTAATTTGAATTAGACTTTTTTAAAATGTTGGGGGAATTACATATATTAAAAATCTCTAAGCACAAATTTATTTGGTTACGAACGTTTTTCACTTTTAATGATTTTTTGAATATTATAAGAAAATAGCAATTTTCAACAATCTCCTTTGATCGTTTAATATAAAATTTAATTCTGTTACAATATGAAGACGAATATTCAAAGAGTAGAATGTAAATAGTTAACAGGTATGAACATATCCAGGTAAGAAATACAGTATACCTGAAAACGATGATTCTACGTAATTTTATATTTAATTTTTTTCCTATGCTTTTGTAATAAAAATATGTATATAATTTTGTAACAAAAAATATGTAAATATTATCTTGTATTTACTATCCTGAGTATATTCGAAACACTAAAAAAAAAAAAAAAATTGGAAAATTTTGAAAATTTTTAATTTTTTTGCATTGAATTAAGATCGAATATTCATTTCTACTTATTAATGTATTCAATATTTGAGTGCAATTTGACAATTCTTATGTTTGAAGAGTGAATTTATTCACTTGTTTGACCGCGGAAGATTACTTCATGGCTTTAATAATTTTTTCCAGACAAACCATAGCTCGGATGAAAAAACTGCAATGTATCTTTTTTGTTGGAAAAAACTTCTTCTACAGGTAGTATTTTTTATTTTTCTCTATATTGATCCCAGTCCAAAATATTAAAGAATTTCGAAAATCAAAATGTTTTTAAAATTTTTTTGGACTTTGGGAAATTGCTCGACCAGTAAACTTTTTCTTATATTAATCTGCATATTTTAAAAAACTTATAAAAAAATTAGCCATATTGCTAATTACTTGATTTTGGTGCAAAATCACTTCCACCGACTGGGCTAATTGAATTTTTCGCATTTCTGTTATTAAATTTATTAAACAGATCTTTAAATATTTTGTTAAGAACATTGTACTATAAAATGTGTTGACTCCATGTAGTAGATCTTTCTATGGGCGTTTCTGATAGATACAGTAAACAAAGAATGATACAGTAATTCATATGGCCTAATGGAAAAAATATTGATCGAAGTCAGCACTTTCAACGAGTATATAAAAAAGTTTACTTAGTACCATAATTATTATAAACAAAAATCTTTGAAATATACGGGTTCGGAAAGTCCCCATGGTACATCGGTCGTTACGTGAGAGCGATAAAGTAAGTCATAGAAATCCGTGCGATAGAGAAGGATGACTATAATGAAGGCGTCTCTTAGTCACCGCCCGTTTCGTCCTTCCACAAATAAGATCCACTTCCACTTGTAATTCAGCGACCGGTGGTCATCTTTGTTTTCGTCGTTTGCCTTTTCTTTAATAGATGTCACTATTTATACAATTACGACTCCGGTATTCCGATATGTTAATACAATCCGTTAACAGAGGGCAGCATAATTTTTTATTTTCAGTAGGGCCGTATTATTTTTTTTTATAATATAATGAGTCTGAGTCTCCATAACTCCGCCACTGGTTGCTTGCAGGACTTCTACTTCTATGGAAAAATGGTATCTTATAAGATGTGTCATGCCAAATTTGGCTTAAATAGCCTTCTTCATTTAGAAGTTATTTAAAAAATTCGAAGTTTTTTTAAAATCTTTAACGCCCTATATTTCGAAAATGATGCGTGTCTGGAAAAAAATTTATACTTGATTTTTTTCTTATTTTTTTATGAAGAATATCTCCTTGAAGTTTGTCGACTTAATCCTGAAACACCCTGTATATTTTTTTCTATTAACAGAAAATGCTGAGTAATTTAAATAATTACGAACTACTTAAAAATATATATTTTTAAGTAGTTTTATACAAAAGATTAAAAAGAAATCAACGATATTCACAAATTAATTTAATTTTTACTTTCTTCTCCCGAAAAATGAACTTTTTTGAGTTGTGATGGTTTTCTTCCAGATAAGTAATATGTATACAGGGTTTTTCAGTTCGAATGAATCAAACTTTAACCGCAAATAGAACTCAATAATTCAGAATTGGCTTATAAAGCAAGGGTCTAAGTCTCGCCGTTTTCAGTGTACAGGACCATATTGGTCGGTTTAAAATAATATTATTTATGAAATCTTTGGTATGCTTATAACAAATTGATTCAAATTTCGTGTAGTGTTAACATTTACACATGTGCATAATTTACTGAAAAATTTACATATTTTTGTAGTAAAATGGGATTTTTTTAACCCAACTTCTATTTTTTGATTCTGTGGACAATTCTACATAAAAAATGTATACTTGTTGAAAATCGATATAGTGTATCGTTATTATTATTACAATCCCCCTTTATCAAACCAAAATGCTGGATGTGCCACTGACACTAGGGCGATTTTTGTTTCAGTATTATTTAAATAGTAGTTAAAATGTACTTACATTAGATATTGTGAAGGTTTTAAATGGAACATTAGAAATTGCATCCTTATTTTTAAATGGGTCTAAAAATTAGAATTTATTATATTTATTTAAAATATGGCAGCAAAAAATTTACCATTTTTAAAGGGATCATTGTCAAAAGTATCGTCAGTTCGATTTGGTATTTCATTTGTATTACTGAAAGGGTCAACATCAAATATAGTCTAAAAAAAATATTTTAGATCATTTCTTAAACAAACAGGCTCTTTCGGAATAAACATGCAGTATTTTACCAGCATATTCTATAAGTAAGGATATAAACATAGTAGAGCATGGAGGCTCCAAATTCGGATAGAAGCTAGAAACACCAGCAGCTGCTGTTTAAATCATTAGCTGCTGCTCCTATCTCTAACCTTAATCAGAAACTAAGCTTCGACACTAAAAATATGAGAAACAGTTCATATTATACAGCGTGGTAAAAAAGTTCTGCAATAATTCATATTTTCGTTAAACAATTTTTTTTTCGAAAAACGGTGAGACCCGTCGATTTTTATTTGATCCAGGGCACCTTGTTATGTGGAAATTTTTTTTTTTCGATAATCCACTTACGGCAGCGATGACATAATTTTTTTTTAAATGACAACGCATATTTTTTTGTTCGAAATTGATGACAGTGATAATTATCTAAACAACGGTGTGAAAATTTCGATGTCTTACATAACAATTTT